CCCCAAAACCCCAAAACCCCAAAACCCCAAAACCCCAAGTTTTGCCCTTTATATTGAAAATATAACATTAATTTAGAACTCTAGGGAATGTACAAATATACAAATCAATCTATTGGGAATGTTAAGAGCCTGAATAAAAGATTACGACATCAAGTTACCATGATTCCTGAGGATGCTCCGTACCAATTTGGCAAGAAAGGTAGCCCCAGGAAAATCCCCTTCCCTTCGAAAAGTACAAAATTGTATGATAACACTAAAAGAAGGAAGAGTGTGATGGGTAGCAATATCTCTCGCTTTGCTCCTCCTTCTAGTCAAAACTTGGCTCCACCAATTAAGAGGAAGAGCACTGTTCGTGCTCAGACCATTGGTGCAGCAGAGCGAACTCCTTCTGCTATGAATGTAATTAATAGTTTCTTTGGAAGCACAAAGAGCTCCCCTAAATATAAGAACGGTTCAAAAGGAATCCACGAAGAGGAAAAATCTCTAGAAATGACTCCTAAAAGAAGTAATCCAAAAATGAGAATATCCAAGAATTTCGTAAAGCAGACTACTATAAAAGAAGAAGTCACTATTTCAGAATATGAAATTAATAAATAAATGGTATGATTATGAGAAGAAGACAGGAAAAGATTTCTCTTTACCATCTTCTAAAATGATAAAGACAACCCAAGGCCCGGAAGCTTTTAATTTTTCTACTCCTAATGGGGCTCTAGCAAAGCTGAACACCTCGATAAATCGAGGAATAAACTCAGGAAGTATAAATTCTTTCCGAACTCCTAATAAATTTACTCTCCCAAATAACTCATTCGACTCCAGAGTTGGAGGGTCTGAGAGTCCCATGAAGAACAAAATACGGAGACGACAGACTAAGTTGTTGAGCCTTAACCATAAAGATCTCCAGAAAATCCCGTCTCTATCTCTGAAGTGATGCGATTGTGAACTTATAGATGTAAATTGCTCGATAAATAAGTATAAGAATGAACAAAATATTATGAAGCAATCCAACTCCATCCTACTTGAAGAAATCAAGCAACTCAGAGATCTTAACGGTCAACTTATTGACAAGCTTAACAAGTTCCAAGATAATGAGGCAGCTGTCCTTGATCGACACCTTGAGTACGAACACATCGAGGAAGGATTTGAAAAGATCTGTAAGAACTTTAGCAACGAGGTTGACCCATCTCTTGGCAACCTCAGTGTCAGAGGAGCCACAAAGAAAATGCTTCTCAATCTACAACAGTTCTGATACGAACAGATATCCTCTATAAAGATATGCTATATGAACAAAGTAGAGCAGCTAAAAGGTTCGTTTACAGAAGAGATAGAAAATCTCTCTGAAGCATTGGCTACAACCAGTATGATGTCTTTGGAATACCAAAAGAAGTTTGAAAAGAAGTGCCTCACTAAGGCTGCTAAGGAAGATAGCAACTCTGATAAAATTCAAGAGCTTCAGGTTAAGCTTAAAGCTGTTTCCCAAGAGTTCAAGCTTTATAAATCAAAATTTGAAACTGCTGACAAAGAACTCTCCGAGACAAAAATTTTGAAGGAGATAGCCGATGAAAAACTTGCGATAATGAAAGAGAAAATGCAACGTGAGAAGGAAGCAAAGGAAAGTTATAAGGAGCGATTAGAAGAACTTGAGACTAAATATCAAAATATCAGCATCTCAACAATGCACACAAAACTATCTTCTCTCAAAACTCAACTTGATCTCCAAAAATTAGAAGATGCTAAGAAGTTATATGATAAGGATAAAAAGCTAAAGAAAGCAATCCAAGCACTAAAATCTTTCCAGACTCAGAGAAGAGATGGCGTGATAAAGCTTCCTGAGAATCTAGGAAATGAAGAAACAGCAGATCCTGAAGAAGCTTCTGAGTCTGGAGGGCAAAGCCCTACTAAAGAAGATCTTCCTGAATTAAATGACCAAAACAATTTTGAAATACAAAGTGAAGATGAAGACCCAGCAGAGATCGAAAGAAATATAAAGAAAATGTTAGCTGAAGAGGAAATGATAAAGAAGCAAAAGGAAGAAGCAGCCATAGAACCTGAAATAGTTGAGCTAGACAACGAAGTTAAATATCAAGTAGATAGAGAGAAGTTTGAACAGGCTCTTTCGAAGAACCCTAATTTGGACAATCTTTACTAAATAAATTTTCAATTATCATAATTAAGAGGGGTTTTGGGGTTTTGGGGTTTTGGGGTTTTGGGGTTTTGGGG